CGCAGATTGTCCATGAGCTGCTCCGCTTCCTGCACCGCCTGGCCTCGGCGCACAAGGACTATGCGGTGGTGCTGTGCTGCCTGGGAGCCAAGGAGGCCCTCTGCAAAGTGGTGGACAAGCACTCGGCGCTGGTGCTGCTGGCCGGCGAGCTTCGCGACTTGCTGACCGACTGCGAGAGGCATGCCCAGCTCTACAGCAGCCTCACCTCCAGCATCCTGGCTGGCTGCATTCAGGTGGGCCGGCTCGTGGGTACAGAGCGAAGGGAGATGGAAGGCAGAAGCAGGGGAAGGGATTCAGTGTGTCCCCCTTTGGCATCCCTGTTTGACATGAGCCATAGCAAACCTGGGGCATTTGTTTCCCAACCTTTACCTCACCGGCTCCTGTTCTTCCAAAGTCTGGGGAAAAGTGGGTTGAGTATCTGTTGCCCTTTGACTCTTTCTGACATATGTCTTTTACTTTGTTTGTTTTCCTGTTTTCTCCTCTCCCCCTTCCCTTTCTCTCCTGTTTCGGCTGCAGATGGTGCTGGGCCAGATCGAAGACCACAGACGAACCCACCAGCCCATCAACATCCCCTTCTTTGACGTGTTCCTCAGGCATCTCTGCCAGGGTTCGTGCCCCCTCTGCCTTCTCCTGGCTCCCACCCCAGCATCTGTTCTTCCCTTCTCTTCTGCTCTCCAGTGCCTTGCCTTTTTTCTCTCAACTAACCAGGCTGTGACCGCCACCCCCTCCCACTGCCCCCAGGCTCCAGTGTGGAAGTGAAGGAGGACAAGTGCTGGGAGAAGGTGGAGGTGTCCTCCAACCCGCACCGGGCCAGCAAGCTGACAGACCGCAACCCCAAGACCTACTGGGAGTCCAACGGGAGCACCGGCTCCCACTCCATCACCGTGCACATGCGCCGTGGTATTCTTGTTAGGTGCGCACACACCCACATGCACAGCCCTGTCTGAAATCCCTGAGGGACACACTCAAACCCATTCTGTGCAGTGAATAGTAGTCACATAGGTACAGAGACCCCCCCCCCCCCGAGCCTGGTGACGTGCTCCCCAGCAGGTACAGCTGTCACTTCCTGTGCTTGGTGTTGAAGATCAGCAACTCAGCCCCTCTTTCTGTGGGCATTTGTTTAACGTATCTCTGTGCCAGGCACTGTGCAATGGTGTGGAGCTACAAGGACAAGATGTGGGACCTGTCATCAGGGCACATGCAGTCTAGGTGGGGAACCAGGTCGACTAAGAGCGTAGAGTGAGAACATGGTCGACGTGTGCACTGGGCCACCAGCCCAGCCGAGGGCCGGAGAAGGCTTCCAGAAGGAGGGGTAGACTGAGCTGAGTTTTGAAGCAGAAAATGGCGAGATAAACAGAGGGCAATGGATATTCTAGGCAGAGGGACAGCATGTGAGCAAAATGGGAGTAAGAAACAGTGGTGTATGGGGGGAACTTTAAGTAAATGTATTTGGTTGGAATGAAGGTTATGTGTAGTGAAGCAGCAGGAGATGAAGCCAGGAAAGTAGGCTGAGCCAGATCACAGAGTTGTGTGAGCTTTATTCTGCAACGCGGGGGAGCCACTGAAGGGCTTTAAGGGAAGAGACAGACTGGATGTTTAAATTTAGAACACTCACTCTGGCATATGGGAGTTGAAAGGGTTATGCAGTGGTCTAGCTGAAAAGTGACGGCTGTCGGGAAGCAGAAGAGGGAGGGTCACAGTGACAGTGTCCGGTTGTGGCACTGGGGGGCGGGGTGGTGGTGGCAGTTTTCTTTCCCAGGAGAGAGAAGGTTTCTGAAGACATGATAGTTCCACTTTGAGGTGCCTTCCACTTTGAGGCATGACACGGAAATGGGACACACAGCAGGAA